GGCCAGAGTGCATCATAACCCAGCTCCGTGAATCACTGCAAGCTGCGCAAGGGAGCAGAGCAGGGAGATTACAGCTCCTTCGACGTGGCACTAAGTCAGCCGCCCGCCTCCCTCTGCTCTGCATTACCCGGCTGCTCCCCTCTGTCAGCTGCCCACCTTTTCTACCACAGCTCTCCATGGGCCAGCCACCCATCTCCCTCCCTCTGCAATAAATGAGCTGGCCGCCCCCAGCAGCCTGCCTGCCTCAGTCCTCAGTGATCCCAATGCCTGCCTCTGCTCTCAGGCAGCCGATCACCGTGGGGGCTGAACAATATTTTGATATTTGTGCAAATATATAGATGCATAATACTTCCACAAATCACCAAATCACATAGATAAAGCAAAACTATATAAAACTATATATACATTTTTTTAGATTCAATTTATTTTAAATTTAAAAAAAAAAACAGAGAGACACATGGATTTTTAATTAATAAATACTCACTGGCACACACAGGCGTGTAGTCACTGATGCCCATACATACTGACATGTACTCATCAACAGACACTGGCACACAAACTAATGCTGCATCCCATACAAACACTGGCACACAATCACTAATGCATACACACTCCCTGACATACACACACATTGATCCACACTGACACATTGATCCATACTGAAACACACACACATTGATACACACACACACATTGATCCATACTGACACATTGATCCATACTGACACACTGACACATTGATCCATACTGACACACACACACACACATTGATCCATACTGGCACACACACATTTTGATCCATACTGACACATTGATCCATACTGACACACCACACACACACATTGATCCATACTGACACACACACATTTATCCATACTGACACACACACACACACACACATCGATCCATACTGACACACACACACACATTGATCCATACTGACACATTGATCCATACCGACACACACACACACATTGATCTATACTGACACATTGATCCATACTGACACACACACACATTGATTCATACTGACACATTGATCCACACACATTGATCCATACTGACACACACGCACATTGATCCATACTGACACATTGATCCATACTGACACACACACACATTGATCCATACTGACACATTGACCCATACTGACACACACACACATTGATCCATACTGACACATTGATCCATACTGACACACACACACATTGATCCATACTGACACATTGATCCATACTGACACACACACACATTGATCCATACTGACACACACATCGATCCATACTGACACACACACACACACACATTGATCCATACTGACACATTGATCCATGCTGACACATTGACCACACACACACACATTGATCCATACTGACACATTGATCCATAGTGACACACACACACATTGATCCATACTGACACACACACATTTATCCATACTGACACACACACACACACACACATTGATCCATACTGACACACACACATTTATCCATACTGACACACACACACACACATTGATCCATACTGACACACACATCGATCCATACTGACACACACACACATTGATCCATACTGACACATTGATCCATATTGACACATTGATCCATATTGACACACACACACACATACTGATCCATACTGACACACACACATTGATCCATACTGACACACACACACACGCATTGATCCATACTGACATTGATCCATAATGACACACACACACATTGATCCATACTGGCACACACACACACACACACACATTGATCATACGACGCACACACACACACACACATTGATCTACTGACACGCATCCATACTGACACACACACATTGATACATACTGACACAGTGATCCACACACACACACACACACACACACATTGATCCATACTGACACATTGATCCATAATGACACACACACATTGATCCATACTGACACACACACACACACATTGATCCATACTGACACACACACATACATTAATCCATACTGACACACACACATTGATCCATACTGACACACACACACACACATTGATCCATACTGACACACACACACACACATTGATCCATACTGACACATTGATCCATACTGACACACACACACACACATTGATCCATGCTGACACACACACATTGATATATGCTGACACATACACATTGATCCATGCTGACACATTGATCCATACTGACACACACACACAAATTTGCAACAAACTAGGAAAAAAATGCCTTCTTGACCCCAGAATGGCAGTCAGATCAATCCTTGGATCAAGAATCTATTACCCTACATTGGAAAATTATATCCTTGCATATTCAGTTTTTTCAAGTATGCATCTAGTTGCTTTTTAAACATCTGTATGGACTCTGATAAAAGCACTTCTTCAGGCAGAGAATTCCACATCCTTATTGTTCTTTGCCTTAGACAAGATCTTTCTTCCAGTCTAAACACATGACCTTGTGTCCTATGTAAAGCCCGGTTTGTGAATAGATTTCCACACAATGGTTTGTAATTAATACTGAACTGCTACTACTGAGCTGTGCATGTGCTGTAGCCAGAAATGACACACACGCAAGTAGAGAGTACAAGTGACCAATAGTGAACAAGTAAGGAATCACATAGGAATAATGAGAGAACTGCAGAAACATGGACTGCTGTGAAAAATAAAATGTTATCTTACATTCAAACTATTTTGGGTGGCGGTTGATTCTGCTCCCCCTATTGCAAACCATTCCAAAAGTTCTCCATAAGAAAAATAAGTCCCCATAAGGTATAAATTTTTTTTTTTAAATGTATATATTTAAAAAATGTGAGGATGTACAGCAAACATGTCAAACTTGTGCCCCAAAGTGAATATATTTGCAACCCGTCTGCTCTGGGACCACTTTATGCAGTGGCTGTGACCAGCCATAAAACTGCCATTTGAAAGAGGGACTGGGCAGTGTGTTAAATTGGGGGGGCAGTGTATTAATTTTTTTTTCCCATGTCTTTTTTTTTATTGAAACATTTTCGTTACAGTACAAGATTAAGGTACAATATAAGGCAATACGCTTGTGCTTATATTTGTGTAGGTCCGCTGCTAGGCTCACAACATATTACGGATACATATGTAAAAGCATGTCACGTTACCATAGTCACACATAGCTTAACAGGCTTTAACCTAGCTTCATACCCGGGTTAGCTAACATATACACCTATGTTCTTACCCCTTCGATCAATCGGGGATATCAGGCCTTGCTTGTGCATCATGGCTGCATCCTCGCATCCCCGCATAGACTGAGGCTATCGTAACCATTCACTGTCCCCGTGAGAATCAGGAGTCTCCCTTGGCTCAGCATCTGAAATGCCCAATCATCAGGGAAAAATATGGACACGCCTTTTGATTTAGAAGGATAAAGCGCATGGAAGGCCTGTGTGTAATGTTTAGGATGGAAATAAAATGGGTTATGCCTGCAGAAATGGGTTTCTTGAAAGCAGATTATTGCTGCTTTAGATTTGTACATTGTCAGGGTAGCTTGTCTGCGCTTGTTCGGGCAATTAAGTTCATTCACATTTTGGGTTAGGCATTAAAAATAAATCCGCTGCCCATAGGCGTGCGCACGGGGTGTGCCGGGTGTGCCTGGGCACACCCTAATCCCCGTGGCACGCCTATGGTTTGAGTCCTGCAGGAACAGCGTTCCTGCAGACACTCAGTGCCCCCTGTTTCACCTCTTGCCCCTGTCATGGGAGGGCAAGAGGTGATGATTCCACCCACCCTGCAGTTCAGCCGCGGCGAGGGAGCTCTCTGCTCTCTGCTGTGTGCTCCCTCTCGCCGCGCGCTGATGCCGGTGTTCTATCAGTTTGGTATACCCCGTCAGATTGCTATACCCACGTCACTTCCGGGGAGGGGAATCAGCTGTCTCCTGTGCTGCACATGCGTGCTAGCACTCCTGCTACTCCTCCACAGCAAGGTCCTGGAAGGTAAGTAAAACTAGTTTTACACTTTCATTATAGTTAGTGCATTCACTAAGCTTAGGACATGGAACATTTAGGGTTAATGTTAGGGTTCAAATTAGGGTTAGGATTAGGGACTTGTTCCTATTTAGTGATATTTCACATTAGGGGAATATCACTAAATAGTGATTTCTCACACTTTATTTTAACCCTTACCCCAAGGGTTAGGGTAAGAATAGAGTGTGAGAGAGGTTAGAATCACTTAACTAACCCTAATTTGTACCCTCACCAACTAAATGTCGTGTGCTGCCCAGTGATGCGCAACTAATAGTAGCCAAGCAGTACACCCACCTTCCAGAGATTGTGGAGAAGCATGCAACACGCATATTGCCCGGCCCGACATTGGCCTGCTGTCTGGCAATCGGGCGTGTGTAGGGCTACGAGCGGGATATGGCGTCATATTCCGGCTCCCAGCTACAGCTTAATGAGCAGCCAGCGAGCAGCGAGAGCGAGAGCTCCTAGCGGCTGGTATCTTGAGGCGCCGCCCCACTGGACCCCAGGGAGAAAAGAGTCCACCCAACTCAGGTAGGAGGCTGGGTGGACGGCCACAGGAGTAAAATATAATTTGTGTGTGTGAGGTGTGTGAGTATGTGTCAGTGTGAGGTGTGTGAGGTGTGTGTGTCTGTGAGTGTGTGTCTGTGAGGTGTGTGGTATGTGTCAGAGATGTGAGGTGTGTGTCTGTGAGTGTGTGTGTCGGTGTGTGTGGTATGTGTCGGTGTGGTGTGTGTCTGTGGTGGTGTGTGTCGGTGTGTGAGATGTGTCTGTGGTGTGTGGTATGTGTCGGTGTGGTGTGTGTCGGTGTGTGTGTGTGTGTCTGTGAGTGTGGTGTCTGTGAGGTGTGTGTCGGTGTGTGTGGTGTGTGTCTGTGAGGTGGTGTGTGTCTGTGGTGTGTGTGTGTGTCTGTGGTGTCTGGGGTGTGTGTGTCTCTGTCTGTGGTGTGTGTGTGTGTGTCTGTGGTGTGTGTGTGTGTCTGTGAGGTGTGTGTGTCTGTGTGTGTGTGTGTGTGTGTGTGTGTGTCTGTGAGAGTGTGTGTATATATATATATATATATATATATATATATATATATATACACACACACACACGCACGGCGTGTGTTTGTGCTTTAGGGTGCACACCCTAATGCAATAGGCTGCGCACGCCTATGCCGCTGCCATGAGTGGTGTCTTCGGCAACATTTATGGCCATGTAGGTGTGATCAGATCTGGGCATGTGATAGATCCGGGATGGGGTCCCCCATGATAGCGTATTGTGGGCAGTGATCCTTTCCACTTCTTCACAGAGGACGGTGCTTATGAGGTGGGGTAGTGAGTGAGTTTCAACCTGGGGGCAGGGGGTAGGGGAAACAACAATGTGAAAGGTATGAGAACACAGAACCTATATACAGACTTCTTGCTCAGAGAGCAAGAATGGTGATCGATATAGGGGCGCCATAGGTGACCGCTCCCAAGGTCGATCATCGGGGACGTGGAGAGTTACCACCAACCAGGGTTGCCCTGGGGATGTTTTATCCTATGTAAGGCTGAGAACTTGAGTCTTAGTTTTTCCATAGTCTAGTATTGTGAACATCTTATCCTGTTCGTGATTTAATGTTTTTTTTTTGTTATATATATATATCCATCAGCTGGCCTGAATCACCAACGTCAGTGCCAAGCACTAAGGGATGTATAAGGGAATGGTATGCTGGTCCGCCACCGTAAACTTACGGTGCGGAGGGTTTTTGTAACTGTGATGAATTCTCTGCATCTCGCCATCATTGTCGGCCAACAAATCCGCATATATGGAGATGTGGTTGTAGGGTTCCGGCAACGTTGTGAGTTTCCTTGCAGCCGCAATGAGTAGGTCCTTTGAATTGAAATAGTGGAACCGTGCAATGTAATCTCCTGAGCTGTCGCTTGTGAGACTCTGCGGTAACGGCAGGCAGTGTACTCGGTCAAAGAGCCATGCCATGTCCTCCAACTTTGGTACAAGGACTTTACACAAGGCCTTGAGGTACGCGGGAAGATCCTCATTTGATAAAGAGTCCGTAATGCCGCAAAAGTGGACTTTGTTGCGCCTCGAGTTGTCCTCTATGTCGGTCAATTTATGCCGTAGGATATTTTGTTCTTCCTCTAATTGTTGAATTTTGTCCACCGCAGAGTTGTGTGCCATACACAATTCCTCAGTTTTGTGTTCAAGGTGGTTTGTTCTACCACCCAGGTCCACTATTTCTCTACGGAGATCTCTGGCCAGCATTTAAAAGTCAGCCTGCAACATTTTTTCAGGTCCTGCAACATAATAAATATACTTCTGTCCGTGACCGGGTCATCCTCTGGGGAGAATTGAGCGGCGTCCATCTCCGAGGACTCGTCTGAGGCAGGTGAATTCGCGCCATTGTCGCCATCTTGGATATTTTTCAGACGATCTTTACGGTTCTGGTGCATGGGATCTGGGATTTTAAGTTGCTTTGACGATGCCATCACTTGGTATTTTGTCAGCTGCTGAGTAGGTATGTTGTGATTGGTATTTTGGCTGTTTTTTTTAGCTCTTTAGGGCTTAGTGGTCACGAAGCTTCACTCCGTGCATCTGAACCCGTTGGTGGTTAGCCATGCCCTTGCAGTGTATTAATTTGAGGGAGGAAGGTAGCACTGTATTAATGTGAGGGAAGGAGGGGGGCAGTGTATTAAATTGGGGAGGATTGGGGCAGTATATTAGAGTTGTGGGAGGGGGGAAGTGTGTTAAATTGGGGGGTGGGCAGTGTATTAATTTGGAGAGGGAGGGGGCAGTGTATTAAATTGGGGGATGGAGGAGGCAGTATATTAGAGTGGTGATTGGGGGGGCAGTGTATTAGATTGGGGGGAGGGAGGGCAGTGTATTAAATTAGTGGGGTCAGTGTGTTCAATTAGAGTGGAGGGAGGAGGGGAGGAGGGGCTCTTTGATCGAGTACACTGCCTGCCGTTACCGCATTTAAGGGGATTAAGGGGAATTGTATTAAAGTGGGGGGTGAGGGGGCAGTGTATTAGATTGGGTCGGCATGGAGGCGCTGAACGCTCCCCATTGAGATACTGATTGACTGAGCAGCCTTTTTCCACACATGCACAATAGCCTCCCAATGCGTTCCTATGGGAAAGCATTGGAATTTCTGGGATCATCAAGTTTCAAAATCAACAAAACAATGTCATTGGTTTTTTTACAGCTGTTTAACTGCCTATATTCACCATTTTAGTCACATTACCAAACTTTTCTTAATATGTCAAGGTTGTTGTACTGAAACATTGGATATATGCAAATGCACGTCTTCTTGAAATAAATGTGCTCTTTTGTTTATTTTGAAGCCCTATGAGCGTGAGGACATCCAGTGTCAGTTAGGCAACTTTTTTATACTGTACTTTTCGAAATAAACCTACGTTTCTATGAAAACTGAAGTTTTAGGTTTTTTTAAGCCACATAAACGTAAACCTTGTTTATTTGGCCAGTGTTAGCCTTTGAGTTTGACATGCTTGATGTAGAGGAAACAAAAAGGTTTGATTGTAAAAACAAGAAAAACCACAAAAGTGACAGAGCTGCTCTAATGTCTTCATGTGATTTTGCTATTTAAATATTGCTATCTTCATTGTGGATGCATACGGTTGTTTAAACAATTTTCTATTGTGCCCAACTTTTCCATGCTTCAATTAGCTCTTCAATTATTGATTAGAATTTCAGGTATCTAAAATTGGAAATCCTCGTTTCTCTCAGGATTAAAAGTAGTTTGATCTTCATTGTTTGCACACAAGGTAGCTCCAACATAGTTACATAGTTATATAGTTATATAGGCTGAAAAGAGACATCAGCGTCCATCAAGTTCAGCCTTTCTCACATCTGTTTTTGCTGTTGATCCAAAAGAAGAACATGTTTTTCTACAGTCATGAAAAATACATAAAACAGGACTATTTTAAAGCTTTCCAGAGCTGTCATTTCTTGTTTCTTGATGAAGCTGAATATTGAATGAGAGAGTACTTTTTCAAATGAAAGTGTTTCATAAGTAATTCACTGTGGTAGACACACTTTCACTTGCAATATTAACAGTGTTCTGCCTGAGGCTAAATCTTAGCATTAAATAAATATATAAATAAATGCAAACCAATAGAGCACTCAGTATAGAGAATGGAACAATAGATTTCAGATAAATTCATTTCTACTTCTGCTTCAGAAAGAAAACAATTTCTGTACTCTAGTTGAAGTGGTAGAATTCAAAGAGTATATTTTTAATTATACATATTTCTGTAAATGGATGATTAAAAAGCCTCCATCTGTTATAATTATGATGTCAATGGGCACTCATCATTGGATGGAAAATCTAGTTTGAACAATAGAAATCAAATTGAAATGCTGTCATTTTTGAAAACAAAATGTTGGCTTTTAATGTCCAGTGTAAAGCAAAAAAGTTTGGGGTTTTAACATGAAAAAGTGAATCCACTAACATAGCAATACATGTTTAGTTGAAAACTTGAAATGACACCTATTTTTAATGATATGTAGATAAGTAGTATATACTGTCCTCAAAGATTAATACTTCCGAGTTTTCAGGGAGTCCGTATATGAAAAATAAAAACATAACAAACTTGCTTAGCCATTTTTGATAAAGCCCATGAGGTGAAATGCGTTAAATGGTTTTTTAATGTGTAACTTAACAATAAAAACTTTTATTTGGTACCCTTATTTATAGGACCAATTTTGTTTTATTGTATATACACATTTTTTATTTATTTGTTTTATCCTGGCATCTAACTGTTCCTGCTTAAAGCAATCCACAGGTGGGGATTATTCCACCGGCGCTTAAATAATAGAGCAGTATTCCCTGCTCTATCATTGTGAGTATATTTTATTTCATTTTATATTTTGTTTTCTCTTCCTACTGAGAGCACTATATTTGTCTTTATATACCTTGCAAAAACCTACGATACCCAAGCCGGACGGACGGACGCAATTCATCAGCAAATCCATTAGCGGGGATTAAACCGCTAAGTGCCTTTCAACTAAGAGCTGGTCCAAAAGCTCCAACAAATGTGAGTGTACTATCCTCCATTTTGTTCTTTTCGCTAATCCTCTCAGTACATACTATACCATTGGAAGTTTGTTGTGTTTTTATTTTTCATATACGGACTCCCTGAAAACTCGGAAGGATTAATCTTTGAGGACAGTATATACTACTTATCTACATATCAGTGAGACGTCTTTTTGCATTTGAAATTGACTAGGCCAAAGGTAGTGGTTATTCCAGACTTGAATATACCACCCTCCTAGTGGTCAGTCACACCTTTAAATGACACTCCAGTGGTGTCAAGGGGCATAACCCCAAAATGGAAGTACTAGAAAATGACTTTCCTGTTACTGGTCACTGAAACCAGAACCAGGACTGTCAGCTGGACAAAATATTAGTAGATAATAGATAATTAAATCAAAATTGCCATCAATATGTCGGAATATAGAGAGGGTTCATACGTAGATTCAAGTGATTAAAATAGCCTAAATGGCTCTTCTCCTGTCTAAAGGACTCTTAGACGTAAAGAATCTATTTGAGACTCAGGACTTTAATATAATCAACCATAGTATGTCCATGTCAACAGTAAAAGCGGTTGTGGAATGAGCCTTTAAATTAACTCCTGTAATCTAGATGGAAAAGACAATCAGTCAAGGAGGAACTTTGAATATTGGCTGTATATAAAGTAACACTTGTAGCAAAGCCCGCTGTATCAAAAAAGCTACAATAAGAGTGTAGTTAAGCAATCAGCAATTAGGGATAACAGCATTTAGCTGGATACCAAGTAACATATAATAAAAGGAAAAAAGTCTACATGAAAATTCGTAGATTAATCACAAAATATGTCATAAATGATAAATCTTAAGTTAGTGGTTTCCTAAATCGCTATGGGGTACAAAGAGTATCTGTTGCCCCCTCAAATACATACAGAGCCAGTCCAGATTCCTCAATCAAATAGATAATTCCAATCTAGATAGCATATCAGGAGTGACAGGAGGAAAAGGTGAAAAATTAGGAAATAATAGTGCTAATGTGTTGAACCATGCTTAGAGTGCTGGTTACCTACACATCGTGAAATAGTGCCCTGAT